ACACACACACACACACAAACACAGATACCTGAATACCAGTGACTAAAATATTAGTCATGACAAACATTCTAAAACATAAATAAGCAAGTATGTACATGTATAATGTAATACGAGCTGTGTCATGTAAATAATTTACACATCTCACTTGATACAATTTACAAATTGATAACGATCCAAATTTGCCTCCAGGAGGAGAAAAGTATTCAAGGAGAGAGTCATAATAGGGTAAAGGTCTACTTCAGCCCCCCACCCCCTACTCATTCTTAATTGATTCTTATACATTAAATAAGCTAAATTCTCCTTTCAGCGAGCAATCACCGCTACCCCAAAGATAATTAAGCACACAGAGAGTGGAGACCCTGATGTGCATAGAAAAGGTGAAGTAAGTTCCAAATGAATGGCTGAAGTACACATTTATATCTTTGCCTAGCAAAGCAGACCCCATCGACTTCGAACCATTAGGTGATAAATTTAGTGCAGTATCGTAGGCTGATAATAACATAATAATAATGATAATAATAATAATAATAATAATAATAATAATAATAATAATAATAATAATAATAATAATAACAACAACCACTACTACTACTACTACTAATACAGTTGGCCCCACTGTTGTCATTTTTATCACTATGATCACAAATATTATTACCTCCACCCTTATTATCATCATGATACATGTTTGTTACACCAGGCAACAGTAGGTACTGTTATTGGCTTTACCTCGGCATGTGACCCTGGGGCGAGGGTCTTGTTACATTTTTCACATCTCAAGCAGGCGCTGTGCCAGTCTTTTCCCATGGAAGTCTTCCTTTCGGCTGTACATGTCATAATGTGATGAACACCAACGGCAGCGAGAATCCAGGAGGAAAGTTTGGGTTTGGGGGAGGGGGGGGGTTGGTGTGTGGGTGTGTTTGGGTTTGGGGGAGGGGGGGGGGAGCAAAACGAATTACAAAACAAACATTAGCTTGAAATCTGAATGAGTCAAGGTCGTGCTTGCTTTGTCGCTGAAAAAAAATAATTCATTGGTGGTAGGTAGCTATACAAGCACGTGGATAGATCAGTAAAAGTCTTTAAATAAGTTTACAGTGTGTTTCGTACTTGGCGTCACAGCACCCTTACTGTGATTAAAATTTGGAGCCTTGGGTGAGCGTAGGCCTACTTGGTCAAGTAAGTTCCAAATGGGGGCGAAAGTTTACTGTCATCCATGAAGGCTTGCGTTTTTTGGAAAAGACTTGTATCGGAGTGAAAAATACACTATTCAGTCACATGCAAACAAAAACACTCTCAACACTCCGTCTCTCCCTAAAAGCCACAGAAAATCTCTCTCTCTCTCTCTCTCTCTCTCTCTCTCTCTCTCTCTCTCTCTCTCT